TCATATGCCAGGCAAGCGTCTTGCACAGTCTTCATTCTACAGATTTTAGTTGGGTTTATAATGCCAGCTGTCCTCTACTAAAAGCTTTTGTTTCTTTTTTCCCTTTGATGCCAGAGATCCAGCCCAGAGCTGCACACATATGATAAGTGCTCAACCACTCAGTCACATCCCCCCAAGTTCTGTTTGGTTTGGTGAACAAACCTGGTAGTACTAAGTACCATTTCTGGATCCATACTAGGGGCTCCTACTTACAGAGCTCAAGATACTCTGTGGTGCTGGAGACCAACCCCAGGCCTCCTAAATGCAAAACATATACTCAGTCCTTTGAAATATCTCTGTGGCCCTTGTTTAAACAGCACACACAGCCCATGAAGTGGGCACTATTATCATCATCTCCTGTGTACAAAAGGGAAAACAGTAAATAACTGGCTCAAGGTACCACTGTTTCTGAGTGGAGGAGTCAGAATTTGAACCTGAGTTCTGTGGCCCTTTCAACTTTCAAAGTGATTAGCATAAACAGCCCACTGGCAATGGGACCCACAAAAGTTCTTAAAACTGTCTCTTTGATCAAGCTGCTAAAAGAATTGATTATTACCTTTAAGCAAGACTATAAAAAAGCAGACTATAAAAAACCAGAGACTATAAAAAAACCAGCTCCCGGAGGAGAAGAGCGCAGTCTCCTGTCCCCGCGCCTGGCTATTCCTCGCCGGGCCCCTTGGAGGGGAGCGGGTTGAGCTTTCCTCCCCGCCCTGGCCAGGGCCCCGGCAGCCGAAGACCTTCAGGACCAGCCACCACCATGCTGAGACCACTCTCCGCACACCTGAAGGTACCGGCAGAGGGACAAAGCCACGTGGGTTCCGGGGCCGAGATCTCCAAGCCTACCCGGATTGGAGTCGAGCATCCTCCACCCAGATCCCCCAAATTCCAGTAGGCGGGGGTCACACCCACCAACTGGCCCCCTGGCGCCGTGTAATCCCATCAGCGGCCAAGACTCAGAGACTATAAAAACCAACTCCCGACATCTTATTATGACATCTCATTCCTACATTGACAAACTGGCAGGCTACCAAATGTAGCCTGCCCATACGGCAGAGTCTGGCAAACTCCCCGTGGTGTACCCAATATGCCAAATACCAGTAACAATGATGGGTCTCATTCTCCTAAAGAGCCTTGAATATAATCTCAGGGCTAGGATGAAGGAGACGTTACTGGGGCCTGCTCGAGGCAATCGACGAATAACAGGATGATCTGTGATCTGTGATCTGTGAAGCAAGACATTTCTAGTTTCAGTTCCTATGGTGGTTCCCCCCACCAAAAACCTAGCAATAACCCTTCCCTTTCTCCCCAAACTGGATAATCCCACAGTCCTGGATAATCCCACAGTTCTGTCTGGGACCCTCTGCCTTCCCCTGGTTATCTGAGCACCATAGCAGGAAAACAAGTGGCAAGGAGGCATGGTATCTGCATAAACACCCATTGCCAATCTCACCCGCATCTCTAGCAACATTGCCAAATCAGCATCTCAGAGCTCTATCCTCCTAGAGGAGGGGGCCTGCATTTGCATGGAAAGGAACCCCATCTTCCCACCTCTCCCTCCAGCTATTCTCTTATTAAAGCTACCCCAGCCACATTCGGTCTTTATAAAGCTCATCCATGCTAGAAAGCTGATGCTTCCTGGGTCTGTGATTAGGGAACACTTCTGGCCAGCTTGGAGGACCATATGCCATGCCCGGGATTCAATCAGGGTTGACTGCATGCAAGGCAAGAGCCTTGCCTGCTGTCTTATCTCTCCAGCTCACAGTTGGCATTATAATTTTGCTCCTGTATCCCTATCCTCTCCTTTCCTCTTTGTCTTTACAGAATCTTTTCTGAGAGTGTTTTCTCAACACAATTCTTACCTTGTTTAGGAAACCCTTCCCTCACTCCACCCTCCTCTTCAACTTCACCTCTCTTCCGTGTCCCCTTTTCCAGGCAAAGGGCTCTAGCTCTCTTCCTCACCTTCCCCTCCCTCTGGAAGTCATCCTGATCTGGCTTCCATTCCTCCAGGGTACTGCCAAATATCATCTACCTCATCATTGCCATTAAAAACAAAACAAACAAAAGACCCTCATGTTTCCAAGTTGCCCATCTGATCTCATTCCTTTCTTCCCTTGACCTCTAAGTACCACCTAGCTCTTCCTTCAGAGAAAACTCTATGCCCACATTCCCTCTAGCACTCCTCATTCCTCTTTTGCTTGCCAATGAATGTTCAACTTTTCAAGAACTGTTCTTAAATAGTACCTGCTTCACAGAGTTGTGGAAGGATTTGATGAGTTAATGAAATATGGTAAAGTCTTAGAAGAGGACCTGGCATATAGGAAATGCCAAGTAAATGTTTAATATTGTGCTGAAGAGACAATTCAGAGGGTTGGAGTACAGGCTTTGCATATAGGAGTCTTGGCTTCCATCCCATATGGGTCTGGAGCACCATCTGGAATGACCCCTGAGCACTGAACTGGGGGTTGACCCTGAGCTGGATGTGGTCGCACCAAAGACTGCTACTTAGTTGGTTTAATCTCTTCCCAGGGTTGCAAGTGCCATTTTTAGCTCACAGCTCCCACATATAACATCAGCAGATGACCCCTCTGAGCTCCAGAGAGATAGTCAATTGTCAGCTTATTATTCCTACTTGGATGTCTCCCAGTAACCCCAGAATACTCTAGCATATTGAAACTGACACTTCTCATTCAGCTCAACTTGGTTTGAAGAGATTCTTATGCTGCTTTCAGAAGCCAATGGAAAGTCAGCCTCTTTCCCATGAGAATTCACATCATTTTGCATATAACTTGAAGCCATTCAAGTTAATGATCCTCGCCTTGTCGGATGTGTCACTTGAGCTGAGTCTTGGGGGGAGAGTAGGGTTTCACCTGGTGGGCAACCATACACAGCAGAAAAAGGCCTAGCCGGCCACCAGGGCAGTCTGACAGAGGAGTCAGGAAAACCCTGTTCAGGGCTTGGGGTAGAGAGTGACAACAAACCTGCCTTGAAGCAAGCCACAGAGGGCGAGAGGGGGAGCTCTGAACACTGAGGCTTGTTGGTCACGCTAAGCTTTACAGAAACGCTAAATGTTCTGCAGGAACAGACACAAGATCAGATTTGCATTTGTAAAGGATTAAGAGCAAACGTGTACTGAGCCTTTTATGTGCTCCGCATCCAGCCTTGACTGGTAGGCAACCAAATGCTGGGCCGGATAAGAGAGGGTGAGCCACGAACAAGCAGGAAAGCCATGATCAACTTTTTTGATAACTAAACTTCAGTGGAAATATGACAAACACAAGACTAATAAGCAGACATTGACAACCGTGCACACGGCTCTACCTTCATCTTGAGCTTGAAAGAACCCCGGGGAGGCTATAAGAATTCTTTACACTGTCCTGTAATAGCTACATACTTTTGTGACAGAAACAGAGAACAGAAGCTCCAGTAACCTTTCCCAGGATTCCTGGCAGCTGTCTGGCCTTTCTTCGGGATCTCGGGGTGATGTCACTCCCTGGGCAAGGGCTTCCTCCCTGCATCTACAAGAGGCCTTGGGGAAAGTGTTTTAGGAAAACTCCGCAGTGTGAAAATGAAATGCACTCGCTGCTGCTTTATTTAACCCAACTGAAAATGAGCTGGCTCATTTTGCTTTTGTTTCTTCTATTCATGATCCAACTAACTAGAGAGAGACAGGATTAAAAAAAAAAGTCAAGGATCCTTAGTCAAAGCTGTTAAGTGTCTCATATAAAGTGTTTGGGAAGAGGAAGGGAGTTCAGTACTTGGAATCAGGTTACTGCTCTGGAATGGAATTGGGCTCTAGAGTGAAGTGTAAATGACCCCAAGTTTGGAGACACAAGGAAAGCCCACTGCAAGGTGTAATTTTATGGGAGTCAAGTTCCAGATTTGGGCTAGGTATGGAGGGTGGGGGATAGACAGGCAGGAGGACCTTTTTGCAGGGGTCAGATTGGACCGCTGGGTCCAGTCTGTGTCTGGATTCTCTTCCTGCCCTCTCAGAGTTAGGAACCCAGGGGATCAGCCTTCACCTCCCGAACCTGGAGAACCGAGGCTTCCTGGAGCCAGGGCAACTCCAGCCCTCCAGGGGGTCACTTTAAATAGGAAAAGACACCCTTTCCTCCTGGGTGGGTAAGCATCCTGCATGAGGCGCTGACTCAGCGCAGGGAAATCCTCTCAAGATAGGGGCTGCTTGGACGCTCTTACAATTACATTCATCTCCCAAAGACAGCGGGTCTTTTGTCCCACTCAGGAAAGCGTTCAGCGGGCTAATTAGTCTCCAAAGCTTTGCACTAATTGTTTGGGTCGTTGAAGCGAAGCGGACTTGAAGGTTAGCTCAAAGCAGCGCTAGAACACAGACAGCCCCATCTACAGCCCACCTGCACCCAAGGCAAGCGGTTGCAGCTGGGACAGGTGCACTGAGTGAGGTTAGGAAGTTGGGGCGGGGGTGCAGGAGTGAAGATGGGAGGGGTGGGGGGGGGGTTGTCAGCAAGCACAGTAAAACCCTAACATGAAAAAAGGGGGCAATACGATTCTCTTCGACAACTTCTGGAAGGCTTCTAGGTACAGATGTCCCACCCTCTTCTCCTCTTCTCACCCACAAACCCTTTATCCCCGAATCCAAGGGGGCTCCGGAGCTGTAAGACGGAATGACGCGCCCCGGGAAGGTCGAAACAAGCTCAAAAGCATCTCCTGTCCCTAAGGATGTTGGATGATGACCCAAAGCGCGCGTTCACCTCCCATCATCTCTGTGATCTTGAGGGTCGAGGGGGCCTGGGTGGGGCGAGGTACTAGGTGTGTGTTGCGGGGGGGGGGACCCTGGACCCCTCCGAATCTCTCCCCCGCCCTCTGACCGCGCTGGACAGAGCTGGTCCTTGCAGGCGGAGCGCGGGGGTCCGGGAACGTCGGGGGTGGCAAAGGGCCGCGCAACTCGGCGAGCGTCCCCCCCCCCGCCCCCCAACGACCCCGCTCACCCTCCGGTCTCGGCGCCCGAGTCCACGCAGTCGTCGTCCTCGCCGCCGCCGCTCTTGGGATCCATGGCGCGCTCGCCCCGGGCCGCCCGGCCCAGCCGAACCCGGCCCAGCCGAACTCGGGCTGGGCTCCGTCCGTCCGAGCGTCTCGCGAGCCGGGTTCGTGCCAAGAGCTCGGGCGCCCGCGGCAGACGGTGCCGCGCCCTCTCCTGGCCGCGCCGGGTACAGCACCCGGGGCCGGGCCGGACCCGGACCCGCCCCGCCCCGCCCCCCGGCCCGCGCGAGCCTACGTGCCCGCGCCGGGCGGGGGCGGGGGGTGGAGGGGTGGTCCGCGTGCGCGTGCGTACCCGGGCCGCTGCACCAAGACCTGTGCGCGCGCGTTTGTGTGCACCCTGTGTGAGCGCGCGCACGTGTGCGCGGGCGGGGGAGAGCGAGCACGTGGTTCGCCTGTTCTTGAATGGGTGAGGGTTGTGAGGTTTGGGTGCCTGTATCTGGGGCGCGCTGTGGCCAGACGAGTTACTTCTTTGTCGGTGGCCCCTTGGTACTCGCCCAAGTGTTGGTGCCCCTTTGGCCTTCTGTGCTTTGTGGCGGCAGGGGGTGGTGAGTGAAGTCAGTGCATGCGGGTGGGCGGAGGCCGCCCCTCTCCTGGGCCCTCTGTCCTCGACTCTGGAGTCCCAGGGCAAGTTCCCTGTGCAGGCAACATCAAGAAACAGCCAGAGGACTGGGACATCCACTTCTGGGTCCAGCTGGCTCACTTAGGTGTTTTCTTGTAGTTTCCTCAGCATTGCCAACACTGAATTTATTATCAGCTTTCTCAGCGCAGGTCTGAGTGGCTTCTTGGAACCCAACTTGTCAGTTTACAATGGATGTCATACATTCTTTTGCTTTTTTTTTTTTAAACACCTTTAAAAAGAATTTAAAGGAGCCAGGGAGATAGCACAAAGGGCTGAGCACATGCTTTGCATGTTTTATTTCTGGCATCATGGTCCTTACCTCAGGGAGCAACAGAGCAAAGGTGCTCAGTACCTCAGCTACTCAGGATGTTGCCCCGAAACAAACAACAAACAAACAAAACAAACACTGTCCTCCCGTTGTTCATCGATTTGCTTGAGCGGGCCCAGTAACGTCTCCATTTTTTGAAGACTTATTGTTACTGTGTTTGGCATATTGAATACGTCATGGGTAGATTGCCAGGTTCTGCCCTGTGGGCAAGATACTCTCTGTAGCTTGCCAGGCTCTCCGAGAGGGGTGGAGGAATCGAACTCGGGTGGGCCATGTTGGCTGTGTGCAAGGCAAATGCCCTACCCGCTCTGCTATCGCTCCAGCCCCGAACCAAACAGGGACAAAAAAAGAACTGAAGAATGTAGCTATGATATATATTAAGGCACGGTTGTTCAGTTAAAGGATGATGAATGTTTATAAATATCCTCCATTACCTTACAATGGGTTAATTACTGTGAGAAGTACTGATCCTGCCTTTTAGTACACAAGGCACCATCAGAACAATTTGGATCTAATTTTAACAGCCTTTTCTAAACCGTTAGAATGCACTTCAACTTTCTTCTCATAAGGCAAATCATTTTTGTCTCTTTGAGCCTTAATTTACTCATTTGTAAAATGGGACTGATACTGCCTTAAAGCTGTTGTGAACTGGGGTGACTTGTAAAATACTTGGTGTTGGTCCCAGCACAGGTAGCTCTCATTGCATTTCAGGGCTGAGCTAGCCACTTTTTCAACCTCAGTTTGCAGAGTGGTGTCACCCTGGTGACAAGTGATGCTTATTCCTTTTTTGACGATTAATTTAATGGCACGAGTGATAGATCCAGTTAATAAGAATAGACATGCTCTCTCCTCACCAACCAAAAACACCAGTAAATATGCCAGCCCCAAATCTTAACTGTGCTGGCCTCCATGAGCATAAATTTCCTTGTGAATAAAACATGTGCTCGTTAATAGAAAGAAAGATGCATGCAGGTTCTTCAAGGAGGACTTTCCTCCCCATGTACTGAACTCTAAAAGTTCACATACGAGGCAAAACGAATAATGGGAATGATTTATGGCCCCCTGCCATTTATTCCCATTTAAAAGTTATTGATTCATTCAATAACTATTTATACAAACTGGAAGTTGAATTCTGAATATAGAAATAAGGGGAAGCAGCATCTTCTATGTCTACCCTCCTGGAATTTAATCTGGGGGTGGATAAAAGGCCCTCCTGTTGATCATAGATTTGCTCGAGCAGGCCCAGTAACGTCTCCATTGGAGACTTTGTTGTTACTGTGTTTGGCATATCGAATACATCACGGGGAGCTTGCCAGTCTCTGCCGTGCGGGCGAGATACTCTCGGTAGCTTGCCGGGCTCTCCGAGAGGGGCGGAGGAATCGAACTCGGGTCGGCCATGTTGGCTGCGTGCAAGGCAAACGCCCTACTGCTGTGCTATCGCTCCGCCTGGGGGTGGATAATTAAACAAATAATTTATTAGTAAATATATAAAACATTAGTGGGATTAATGCTATGATAAAGAAAAAGAGTAATGTTTCCTGGGAATATAGTTTCAATTTGAGTGTCAGAGAGAGGTCTTTGAGGAAGGAATATTTTAGTCATTTTCTGCCTCAGAGCCTTTGCACTTCTTCCGAGAATCTTGAGGTTCTACAAGAGGCATGTTTTGCAAGAGGCATGCCATGTTTCCTTCAGAACTCTATCAGAGGGTCCTTCACAGAGCAGCATTCTGACTAGTCCTCAATCACAGTACCTCCTACCTCTGCTCTACACTTTTTTAACAGCACTGGTATTGGACAAACTTGCAGGCTATCGAATGTAGCCTGCCCACAGGGCAGAGTCTGGCAAACTCCCCGTGGCGTACCAAATATGCCAAATACCAGTAACAATGATGGGTCTCATTCTCCTAAAGAGCCTTGAATATAATCTCAGGGCTAGGATGAAAGAGACGTTACTGGGGCCTGCTCGAGGCAATCGATGAATAACAGGATGATGAATGAATGAATGAATGGTATTGGACAGGTTTATTTCCTGGTGACCTACTCTGCCTTCTCCAGCCTCTTCCTGGCAATGCCAGCTCTCCTAGAGATAGGGGGTGGGGACAGGGGGGTCCTCCTTTTGTTTGCTCTGTTTGTTTGCTCTGTCTCTCTAACACCAAGAATAGTCCCTGAATAACAAATATGTTGAGTGAACGAGAGGGAGGCAGTCCCCTGTAGAGCCTGGAGTGAGGAGACTGTTTTGGTGGGGAAAGGCAGAGGAGGACACTGAGCAGTTAACTAGAGGGGGGACTGAGCAAAGTGGGCTGAGAAGAACACAAGATGGTGAGCACAACAGGGAGCCAGTTCTACATAAATACAGCATCACCAGGAAATCAATAGAACATTAGCGACTATTTGGAAAGTAGAGGGACAAGTACAGAGTTAATGAAACTAGATCGTCACACTGATGCGGGGTGGGGTGGGGGGGCTGTGATTTATTTCTCACCATCTGGTGACTTCATCAACAGTCTGCTGCTTCATGGATGGTGCCGGACTAAAATGTAATATGAAATTTTGGCAACAATAACCATTTCTGTTGGTACAGTCTATCACATGGTACCCAAGTATAAGCCATCAGTGGCACACACTGGCATCAACATGTTTTAAAAACTACAAAAGTGGTCATATAGTCACTTTAACCACACATGGTCATAAATGTTCATATAATGAATATTCTATCATCCTGTCCTCCTTACATCTATGGGAACTGATCATCTTTTCTTCTTTTCATTCATCTATTAAAATTTTTCTTATTAATTTGGAGGCCACATCTGGCAGTACTCAGGGGTCACTCTTGGCAGGGCTTAGGGTACTAAGCAATGCCCAGGTCTCCCACATGTAAAGCAGATAAAGTACACTTGTTGTGCCCCAGTTTCAGATTTCCAATCTCAGAGAGACCCAGTTTCACACATGATAATGCAAAAGCAAAGGAACTTTATAACTAGCCCGAGCCAGCACTAGCTCGAGCTAGGGGGGCCCAAGTCTCATCCAACACAGTGGAATCTTGACAAGGATCCTTCACAAGTAGTTTATATAGGGTTCAGAGTTAAGAAGCAATTTATATACTGGTCTATTTTTAGAATTGGCCCTATTAGAATGGTAGTCAGCAATTAGGCAATGGTTAGTAAGAGTTTCTAAGGAGAGTGCAGTGACCCTTCATGACTGGCCAGATCCAACTGCCCAATTCTTTATCTCAGCAAATTACTCAACTGAGAGTTTACCAGCAACTGCAAGTCTTGCTTTGGGAAAACAGAAATTGAGGCCTACCTGAGACTTAATGTCAGCTGCAGCTTGTCATGGCATCATGACACTCATGGGCTAAGTGCACTCTAGTCCTCATTCGTCTATTCTGTGTAGGGACAACTTGTGTGTGTTCCCTCATTTCATCCAGAGCAAAGGTCTATGAAGTGAGTTTGTTTTTTCATTTCCATAGATGAGGAAATGAAACTGTTGGGACAGTCAGTGCCATGTCCAGGTGGTCCAGAGCAAGTGGAGATCCAAGTTCATTCATTCATCCGCACAGAGTTCAAGTCATCCATCCATGGAGTGGGGGTGAGTCAGGCAAACTCTCAGAAGGACATACTAAGAGGAAAAGGCCAGGGAAGAAATTAGAACATCAGAATTTCCTTCAGAGAGGAAACAGATGCCCCAATGATTCCGATCTTTTTCAGTTCTTCCAAGAAAGATCATATCAGAAAAATTATCTGGATGCATCTCAGAAAGAGGCACTGCTCCACATCCCTGTAACTACAGGGACATAAATGCTATTATTTATTATTGACATTGATGTTCATTTATCATTGATATTGCTGTTTGATGGCAACCCAGGGATGCTTAGTGATCACAACAAGCACCATGGAGTGGTGGCCATAGCGAACCTTGGACATGACCTTTTGTGATTCCCAGGTGCCACTTCCTGCTAGTTAGCAGCCAGCCCATTTATCATGGCCTGCAGAACCCTCCTTCCTTGTTCCCAGAGGGGGCAGAGACCCCTCTCTGGATTGCTCAGTGTGCTGGACCTGCTACCCTAAAATTCTCTGACCACATTATGAGAACAGCCTGGTG